TAATATCAGGGCGGTTGTGTAAAAGGCTTCGATAAGATAGGTTTACCCACACAATTGTACAAATTTTGTTTGTATGTTTACCTTTATTCATAAACATAACGATCCATTTTATATTTTATCAACCATCACTTTATAACAACTTTGGTTGCGTATTCTAGTCGTAAAAATATATGTATTTTAGCTATTTACAAATATAAACATACATACATACAATGCGTAGAAATGCAGAGCAACACAAGAGGCCTTAATATAATGTTTCAAGAACTAAATAACACAGACTTAACGACCACCCGCAAAAAGGATTCAGCGAAAGTAAGACTAGTAATATAAATGTTCACATGTAGCCTAGTCTACACAAACTTAGTAGTAACGTACTTATTCGTTAAAGCTGACAAATATATCCCACCCGTAACACAGTGTCTAACACGAATGATAATTATGGCTCTAAATTAAAACAAATAACACATATGATGAGTTGGTCTAAATCCTTTGAGCGGCTGACCAATATCTAAATACACTCTCAATGTTCTAGAAAAACATAATTAGGTTTTTTGTTTTTAATGTAAAATATTAGATTTTACTACAGAACAATGTTAGAGCTAAATATACAGAATTCATTAAAAGCCCAGTTTACAGACGACAGGCCAAGACAAGAGGCACGATTTTATACAAAAAATAAAATCAAATAATGTACGGGACTAAATTACCTCCTTGTGTTAGCAACTGTCATCTATCAATCATATAAATATATATATCACACTTAATCTTCTACAAAGGAATTGAAACGAGTCCAACGACTCCATTATGTCTAGAACTAGCCGTAATTAGATATATATGAAGATGAAATAAGTAATAGTTAACGCTAATTATGTTTTCCATTTGAAACAAAGATTCCCGTACCCATCAATGTTTCTTGAAATTGTACAAAGTGATTGCTTATAAAAATTAGTCCCCATAACACAGAGTAATAATAAAATAAAGATGCGAAGGTGACCTGGAGTACAACATAAGAAGTGACATCACATATGTTGGCATATTATGTTCCACCAAATTATAAACTTTTGACAAGTTGGATGGAAATTTTGGACCCCCGTGAAATATTTTTTAAGTTTACTCTGTGTGGGAACTAAGACATCTTAAAGGTAGAAAATTGTCTTACATAATATATTTTTGAATAACAGATTATCATATAACATTTTGATATATTGTAGAAGTATCTCTTCAATTGTAATAATAATTAATGTTAAATCTATTAAGCTTACTCATAATATACTCGACATAACCACTTAAATTTTGAATGCTTATTATTCTTATAACCGTAATTCCTTAACGTTAGCAGCCAAATTAAAGAAAGAAACAATATTCATATTGTTCACAAAACAAAAGTATGATCAAATACATTTGCACGTTCCTGAAGATAATTAGCGAGTGCAATTTTTTTACAATCGTATTAAATTTTTCGAATATTTTAGATAAATACTAGAATTGAAGTTTTACAATGATTTATAAAACATTAATTACATCAACGAGAAATTCTAAAAAAATATTATTTAATCATAATAATGTAACCATTCGCGTAAAACTTTTTGTATTTGTTAAGCCAATTTAACATTAGTTTAGAAAAATATCATGTTCCAATAAGCTTAACCATACTTTTTTCGTTGATGATTATATTGACCAAATAGTTGTAGTAACATTGTATCACGTTCTGCCAAAATTGAGTTTCTAACGACAAAGTTATTGACAAATTATTATTTGCCGCTAAATCATCCATAAGTTTATAATGTGACATTTAAAATAGGCAGTGTTTTTCATGTTATATGGAGGACCTGAATTAAACTAAGCGCTGTGTATCGGAAATTTAAATTCAGATAATATCGATTATCCGAATTCAAATTATAAATGATCGGATTTTGGAAGACATGTTTTAACAAATTTAAAACATTTTAAGGGTTCTTCATGTAGCCTATGTTCAAGTCAAATAGGGTAATAAAATCTGTATTTGAGTCTAAATTTTTGAGGGGACCAACAGTTCTAACAAGGGGAATCTACTTTAAACGTCAGCGCCCTCGATTTAATAATTGTAAGGAAGGATTGTGATATAAAATCCTTTCTAGATTAGAAAGGATTTTATTTTATGAACTTAACTGTTTAGATAATTCTATTTATTTAAAGAATGCAATGGCTAAAATCTATTCCAATGTAATAAATTTATAGAATCTCGATAAAGGTGTTATTGTAAAAATACATTTCATCTTTAATTTTCAGGCACCCATCTTTATTACTGTTCAATTTATTTACATTATGTGGAAAACCATGTTTTAACTCATGCAATGGACGTGTTTTTATACGAGTCTTTATTACGTAAACTAGATTACCATAAATCTGTAAAAAATATAGCCTTAGTGTACATTGATATCTCACCGAGAGGTCAAAAACTAAGTGACGGCATTTAATGCTGTTCTATCTATCGTATCGATAAAAAGGCTTTTCTTTATCAGATAATTTTAACGTTATGAAGGCGAACGCCACTAATTTCAACTACGAGCTTTAGTTTTTCTTGTAGGTAGCTAAGGCCATCACTTGTACTTTACTTAATTTTTGATTTTACCTATCGGATAACACGTTCAAAAAGCATGTTTCCCCATAACGAACTAAATGGAATGAAATTGTTATATTGCTACGATTGTAGGTTATTGTAAAGCTTTATCTCACTATTATTAACGCTAAAAAATCGAATTAATGCATAGTTTTATAAACTCGACAAATTAAATTGGTCAGTAGCCTAGACATCTGAACTATTTACTTCGAAGGGTATAAAAATATTTATATATTTCTAAGATATCATTGATCGATTTGGTTTTACTGGATACCCTACATATTATTTGTACGTTCATCATTAGGTAGGTTATAATCACACGTTTCGTTAAGTGTACAACTAATCGCTATATTATATGGTTGGTGTTCGTTATTTTGTAACAAAAATACAATTTCAATGGGAAATTTTGAACTTCAAAAATTAATTATTCTACCTCATATTTTGTTAAGTACCCGCTAGTCACTTAAGTAAATGCCACCTCAGTATCGTCTCAAAATAAAAAGAAATCAAGCTACATAAAATAAGTGTATGGTTACAAGTCTAAAAATTTTGCAAATTTTCAAGTAAAATATCATTTGAACTTAAAAAAATATATATATAAAATTTAATAACGTAAATATTTTTATGTCATTTTATTTGTATTGTGGTCCCAAACTAGGCAAAATTTGTTTTACAAAGTCTCTTTACAAGGTTTCATTGATTGAAGAGTAGCCAGTGCTAATAGCGATAATTTTGAAGTAAAACACATTACACTTGTTCATAAGAATAAAAAATTGCCAGTGCAACATACAAATTTAACATATAAAAGATAACCACGACGTTTTAAAGTCGCGCAAAAATACCTCTATTTTACGTTGACCATTCTCGTATTTTTGTATAACATATGATGAAAATTTTAAAAATGTAGAAAAATTGGAAATGGGTTATAATTTTATATTTGTTAGAAAAACCAAGAGAAAATTTAAATGCTGTATAACATATTTAATCCAAAAGTTATTTAAAATAAACTATTAATTTAATTGAAAATGTATATGCCTCGATTGCATGTAACCATATCCAGCCGGGCGCGAATATATATCAAGGTCAAACGATATTTATGAATGTAGTCCGTATTGAGTTCAACAAAAATAAAACTGTTTAAATGAAGATCGTAATATAGCGAAATAGCTGCCAAACACAATGTCCCAACATATCTTACATGTAAAAACATAAAATTAGGATTACTTACTAATTACAAAGATACAAAAATGAGTAATAAATAACGAAACAAAATACGAGGTTTAGAACACGTAATAATCACCGTGTTGGTACATTTAAAAAACAGCCAAAACGAAACATTTTAAAAAATAAACTTAAAACGTCCATAACCAAAATATCCATATTGAGACGAGATGATAGGTAATGCGGATAATGAGGTGTACGGAAAAAGAAAAAAAAAGGGCTAAAAGCAAATTGCATTACAAAAAACAAATAAATATATTTTATACCTCTGTTGTTCCTCTATGGTGCTTGACTACCAACCAATATATCAATACAGCTCTTAGGGATGAAAAATGATGACATCAAATTTAAAATAATATTTAAAAGTTTAAATAAATCAATAAATTTAAAAAAAATACAAGAAAAGTAAATAATAAAAGAAACACAATCATGATAATGTAACAAAATATTTACAATAAAGCAACAGCTATAATTTAACAACACGTTATTTACACATAATAATATATTCCTCTCCGACTGTACACACCGTGAATATACAAAGACGATGATACGACGGTTCGAATCAAACCATCGTGACTCTTGCTCGGAACATTCCACGTGTGTACGGACGGGAGAAGCCACCTCGCGTAACGCATATCATACTACAATTATACCTTATTTTGTCATAACAGGTAACATCTGACTTTCATACTATAATACATAACGTTCACAACGCCAAAAAATATGTGTTTATTTCTATACAATATTGCACGCGGTTTGTTTCTATTGTACAATGTGTCGGTATACTAGGCGTACGAGTCAATCATATTGCGGATCACGTATGTTTCGCTCCCTCACAGGGAGCCGCTGTCTTACATCGTTACGAATCTTATACATTATATAAACTATACACGAATGCCTAAAGATCAATGAAAACGGAGCTCTCCAAGGGCTCGTGATCGAGACGGTGCCCGATCGGCTATTTTACACTATCATTAGGATCACTAGCACTAGACTAATAATAATTACATCCACATGGAGGTTAACTATAAATACGTGTACTTAAATTAATTTCACTTGCGTGAGGTTTACAGCCGCAGAGGTACCACGTGGGAGCTTGATGGGGGATAGACGAGTCGAGTTTCGGATGGCGTGGGTACGTCGGTGCGGTGCGGTGCGTTGCGGTGCGGGGCGCGCCTCACTGCGAGAGCAGCTTCTGCAGCAGCGAGGCCCTGGCGGCCGCGCCCGTTCCCGCCGCCCCGGCCCCCGCCCCCGCCCCCGGCCCCGTCCCGCCAGCCGCAGCCGCCGCCTCATCACCGCCCGCCGCCGAGCCCGCCTCCGTAGTACTCTGGCGTCAAAAGGCAACCACCACTTCAGTTATTTCACCCCCTTGGAACGGGAGAGCGCCGTCGGCGAACCCAAAGCCCTCGCCCTCGGCTCAAGCAATTCAACTCGATGTCGGAACGTAGTCGCACCGTTTATGTCGGTGGACAGTTCATCACTCCAAATCGTGCAACAAATTACGTCGATTTAGTGAAGTAAACAACACAAAAACGTGGGAGCGACATTTTGATACAAGTACATATTGGCACAATTTTATTTCATACAAACACATTCAATAATCCATCATCATCTTAACTAAACTTATTTTTAAGTTGTTCTAAGAAGCTACTAAAAACATACTCTTATTTAATTACCGTCAATACCAAGTGGCATTTAAAAACTTAAGATCGACACTCAATATAAGATAAAACTTAGCACTGTAAGACATAACAAGTAGTTATAAAAGAATATGACAAATTGTTTTTTATATGCGGTAACATAATTATAATAATGAAGACTGCTCTACTTTTAACACAGCATATTCCTAAAATGTAAGACTTAGAGAAGCTGCATAAAATAACAAGATATTTACCACAGAAAAACTTTAAATACAGTGATTTTAAATTTCATAGCCATTTTACAACTTGTGTTGCTTTTAATTGAAATTAACTGATGAAACTTAAATAAATTTTATAATAATTTTTAACTGCGGATATTCGCACTTCTCGCGAAAATTGGAAGACCCAGAAATTTTTAAGGACAGTGTTATAAAAAGTTCCTTTTAAAATTTATTGTGTTAGAAAAATTCTTATATAATGAACACTATGTATGAACGTATGTAAATAAGGGCAATTATATATTTACGAGGATCGATCAATATTTACTTCAAACGCTATGGAAATATCAGTAAAACAGTTTACATAAAATAATTAAAAATAACTTGATAGAACCTCATAGTGAATAAATTATGGATCTGCCCTATAGACCTATAAATGAAATCATGCATCATTTTAGTCTTAGATAATACTGCACTCAAATGAAATAATTCGTATGCTATGAATTTTGAAGCAAATATCAAGCAAAGTATTGCATTATCAAATAAAATTATTTTTATTAGTTTTCTACTATGTTAAAAATACCTTCACCACGCTTTACAATATACGCATGCGAATTACCTCTTCACTTTCAAAAAGCTCAGAATTCAACAAGTACAAATTCCTAAAAGCGAGTATTTTGCTTTGACATTTTCAACGACTTCTTACTATAAAGAAATATCTGAAAATGCACGGTACGAATATATTAAAATAAGACACTATTTATAGTAGAAAGTAATATTAGACATCACATCACAAAAGCTTCTGTAACAATTCCAGAAACGCACCAATAACGACCAACTGAGGATAAGTAGAAAACATTACGATAATAATTTAACTTTGGTACATTCACCACACGGTAACGAGACAGAGATGAACGAAATCCCATATCGCTCACAAATAGCGATCGGCATATATTGGTACATTTCATTGAAAGTTGCCTCTAAAAGTATCAACTTCATTGATTTGACAACACACGCAGCAGAGCAGACTCAATACGCAATTATCATAGGTATGTAGAGCTACAAAACGATAAAAGAAACCGATACAAGAAGGTGTGGCAAGTGACTATGTGTTTTGGTCCCGCTGGCGGCGTCCCAAGCTTACCGGTGTGCTCTGTTGCGACTCCCACGAGTTTGCGGACGCGGCAGACGCTCGGCCCCCCACCACACTGCCGCCACCTACGTACGCACACACGGATACATTGGCAGTGACCCACCGCGACACTGTCAATGATCGCACGGCTCCCCGGCCCGGCTACATTTTACGCTTTGTCAACAGCCCAGCGTGTATTGAACGCGAATCGCTTCGAACGACCACTTTCCTAGTGGCGCAACATTTCCGAAGGCTTACATTCTAGTGTTCTGCAATTTTACACAGCCTATACAAAACTTATTACAGCGGGCAAGTAACGACTAATAGTTTAAATTTTTGACGTAATATTATTTAACATCACAATGATAACATTGAAGACGACGGTAATAATAATAAACATAGAAAACTAAAAACAAATAAAATAAGTAAGGACATATTAAAAAAAGAAATAATCAAGATTGTACAAGATTCATAAGAATAAGAAAATCATCCTAAAAAGTTCCCTAGCATATAAAACTGTTATATTTAACATTGTTTAATTGTAAAATTGTTATACGACACTTATGCATTAAATTTATAATAAACAACACATTTTACCCAGGACTTGGAACATATCTGTTACCGTTAGTTAATGTTAGTTACAGCATCGCTTTCATAACGCTCTACGATATTATTGGGTTATTCTGCCACAGTGAATATTACTTTACAACGTTGACTGTCTGATAACACATTTATTATAATATTCATATATTTAATGTCGTTATACATAATACGTGAAATAATGCACGAAAGAAATTCGAACGGTATAATCTTTTAGCTTAAACAAATCAGTTTAATATAGTCGCAATAAATTTAATAAATATTGCCGTATATGATCCTCTTATTCTTTCTGAAAGAATACGATTTACACGATTTCCGCACTTATAAAATGCAACAACAAACAAAAGTACTTCTTACTAGATTCACAAAAGTACTCTCCGATGACGAGCGATCACGCTCATTGATATACTGACAGAGGTTACAATACGTCGACGTGAATTTTTTACTTTAAGCAACCTTCTCCAGCATTTACACCCGCATCGCAATGCTGCTCCGTTGCACCACACAACGTGTAGCGAAACTCGGGTATAGCAAATAATGAAACGCTTGCATCAGATCATCCAAATGATACCGACAGTCGACGTGATAAAGACGCGAGAATCGTTCCTCGATCATAGCGGAGGCGGTGGAACGGGGCGTTCACTAACCGGGCGCGGGCATGTCGAAGGTGAGGAGGGGGTCTATTTCGGGCGCGTGCATCGGCGCGTGCATGTCGGGCCGCGCCGACCGGGCCCCCACCACGGCGCGCAGCTCGTTGCGCACGTACTCCGAGGGTGCCGCCGCCGCCGGCGCCGCCGGACACGCCGCCCGAAACGCAGCCCGAACCGGGACCTGCGCACCGCAAGCGGGATCCCGACGTCATTGGCACATCACGACGCATCTCACTTCAATTCGGCTGCGACATCGAATAGCAATTGGACACATTCTATTGGCGGCCGGCGCATGTACATCGATGCTTTTTTTTTATGTGATAAAGTGGCAAACGAGCTGGCGGTTCACCAGATGTTAAGTGATAACCGCCGCCCATGGACATTTGCAACATCTGTAGGGTTGCAAATGCGTTGCCATCTTTAAATAAAGTGGGCCCCGGCTACCTCACTCACCAGACGAATCGCAAAAATGTAACACCTCTACTTTACGGCTGTCTTCTATGAGTTCTTGGTAACTTACCCGGACGAACCTGCCCGTGTGACGAAAAGGCACCACAGTGTTTCCGTTTTTAAAGTTCCTTACAGAGCAACCACTAAATGTTTTGTTACCTTTGTAGACAGAACTAAGGCGTTAGGAACTACGAAACCCGATACTTTTTATATGATTCGAGAAAAATTAAATAAATGTATCCAAGATGCTGATTTTTGCGGGTTTTGAGTACTACACTGTCAATAAAACATTAATTATATTAAAACTTGTATTTTATGAATTATATATTGTTTACTGCAACTACACATTTGTGGAAAAAGTTAGTTTTAATCTCATACATATATAATAGTTAAACTTCGCACAGGCAGCTGTTAACAACATATCGAAAAATGGAAGTATCGATATAATTTTTATAATAATTTCTATTTTAGCTTAACTTCACAGAAGTAGCAGATAAAAATGCTGTAAAATGCAACAAAATACACAGACTATGCTCATACCATCTCTTTTGCATTCTTTTTGACGTTTTATTGATACTTTTAATTATTTCGTTAATCTTATTTTGCAACAACAATTTCTTGTTTTTTGTATTCTAACAAAATTAATAAAAGCAGTATTGAGTGTTCATTATTATAATTTTATTCTTTTTTTTTTGTTTTTACTATAGGACAATGTAACTTTTATAAAAAATATTAATACTTTAACTAAGAGCGGCATAGCCGTGAAGGAACCAAGATAAAGGCAAAAAAAAACTTGATAAAGACAAAAAAAGCTTAAAATCAAGGCATCAGCAGGACTAGGAAATAAATATGTTTCGTAGATTCCATGATATCCTTACTTCCTTACTAATATTATAAACGTGAAAGTTTGTATCTATGGATGGATGTTTGTTAATATTTCACGCAAATACTACTAATAGCTTATACATCAGGATAACACATAGGCTATATTTTATATACATATTTTTATGTATATGATATATCTGTCCTTCTGTCTGAATGTTACGCTTTCAGCCTATTCTACGCAGACGTAATCGTGGGCAGCAGCTAGTTTCATATATTTGCATTTAGATACTTAGTAGTTCTTATGTAAGAAGTATATTTTAAAAAATCTGGAATAAATTTGTATAAACAACAGAGCAAATAAAAACACGCCGTAACATCTAATATATTAAATTCTCGTGTCACGGTGTTTGTAATTGAACTCCTCCGAAACGGCCGACCGATTTTCGTGAAATTTTGTGAAAAAAAATGTGCATATCAGCCAGGATGGAGACACGGACAAAATCTATTTTTCATCCCCCTAAATGTTAAGGGTGGTCCACCGCAAACATTTTTTTCGGCCAGAGGGCCGCTCTGAGTGGAATCATTGAGCCCACTCTGGATGCGTGTTGGAGGATGCAGGGGGCAGATTGAGGGTGGCGGAGGAGAAGCCACTTTCCCCGTCTTCTGCTACCGAGGAGGAGTCGTGGGAGAAAAGGAGTGCCGGTATTGTGTTCAGCCGCTCTCCCTATCCTCCGCGACTCGCCGGGCTGCACCGCTGATGCTGTGGTGGTGGGGCCGCGGGGGGAGAGGAGTGTGGGTATTGCGATGCGCCGTTCTCCCTATTCTCCGCAGCCGAAACGTGGTGAGTATCGGAGCCAAAGACGGTCCGCCGCTAAGGACTGGGAGGCTTGCTGCTTATTATTATTAGCACTGGCTATCCTGGTTCCCATGACCCCGGTCAGCGAACTCGGGGGAGTTCGTTGGCCATAAAAATGGGGCCGAGTAGGAAGGCGCGCTGAATGTTCGCACCTTACCTGAAGGAGAGGGAAGTTGCTCCCCGGGAAGAGGTTGCTGAGGCGGAAGCGTTCTCGTGAGCCTGCCGATTTGCGCCTAGGTGGAACATCGTTGGGGTTTTAGTCGGTGCGAGTCCGACATAACCTGCTCTTGCCACAGCGAGGGCGGGTATGCGTAGGCATTTCCCCCACGTAAACAAAAAAAATCTTGACCTTGAATACATTATACACCTAATAGGGACTATAGACCTCAGTATCTGGTATAAATTTCAACATCAACAACAGGCGGACATAAGAGATTGATCTTATGAAGGTTTCTTTTTTTACCTTTTTAGATACGGAACCCTAAAAATCAGACAAATATTTTAATTGAATACGCAAAGACATTGACATAAAAATAAAAGGTTTTCTAAAGAAAACGTTATTCTTTTTGCAGAATATATAAAAATTTGCAGCTTTAAATGTGTACGATATGTAATTTATAGAAAACGGCCCTAATTTAGATCTTAAGATTAAAAATGTCTAGTTTTTGGAAATTGTTCGGTTAGTTATTGAAACCTACCATTACAGAAACGAATATAACGTTGTTTCAGTAAATCATAAGATAGCTTATTCATAAAACGCAACTCGAACGAAACATGACCGGGAAATTTGTAATAGTAAATTACTGTGTAGAAGAATATTTTTTACTTAGTTATCGTTGATTCACATTAAGAAACAAACTTTTGACGCTAAAGGTTTTTTAAAAAGTTTTATTAAAATTAATTAAGTGAATTTAATAAGAAAATTCAATTAAGTTTGATATATGCCCGAAACAAATGCAATTAACACTTCTTTTTAAAACTTCAATTAACAATATGATCCACAAATACAATTAACGACATGTACTTCAATTTAATAAAAGCCACGATAATTAGTACATAATATAACTATAGAGTTTTAATCTATATAATAAATATATAAGAACTATAATAAGATGAGCTCAAGCGTTTCACAACAAATATTATTATCATGCACAAAATTAGTATATTATAGCGTAAATTTAAACACTCTACCGTAGAAACCAGAAACCACAAAAACTCTCGTCTTACCTTTCCATCAGAGGCTAAAAATGCTGATAGCGTCACTCACAAAATAGTAACATTACACATGAAGATATCTGTTAATCACAATGTTATTTTCATCTTAACAACATTCGGATAAATCCGTTCTTCTTCTTTATAGTTATTCGATAGTATAGTTATCCAAATTCGAGTTGGAGCCCCTTATGCGCGTACTTACAGGACATCTGTTGTTCGTGGGTCGGCGTGTGCGTCGGGTGTGGCTGGTGCTGGTGCTGGTGCGCCTGGTGCGGCGGGTGCGGCGGGTGCGGCGGGTGGGGCGGGTGTGGCGGGTGCGGGGGGTGCGGCGGCTGGGGCGCGTGCGCGGCCCGCCGCCCGTACTCCCCGCAGTAACCGCTGCCGCCCGCCTCGCCCTCCTCATAGTAGCCGCCCACTGCCACACACGCCGCGTTATAGAGGCACGCGAACATGTGCCAGGCCTAACAGCCGTCCGTCACCTACCTAATCCGGATGCGCTCGCTTCGACCGCCGGAACATATAAAAACGCATTCGTTACGCGTGCACCGTACGCGTCGTGCCCGTTCAAATGTCCACTCCGTCTCCGTCGTCACTACAGTTAACCGGCCGAAAGAGTTCCGCTCGCGTTGAAAGTGACGTATATCAGAAAAACGCATGCGTCTATATCGAAAACGATCTAATCAAACCTTTCTCTCTCATTGCTCTCCTTTGCATATGTAAATACTAATTATAAAGCTATAGACATGCAATTAGTAATAATATTAAAATAGATTCGGCAGTATTTGAAGAATACGGTCTAACTAATAACTACGGACATGCTGAAGAATCGAAACCTCCTCTAGCACCATGCTTCGACTTTAAAAGAAAGTCATCGGGGAAATCTTATCTACCTTCAAAATTAGTAGTCTTAATGCAGAAGCGTATCATAAAAATAAATATTTTACTACCTATAGAGTAATTGTTTCGGGATTGTTATATAATTACGATGTACGAAGACAAAATATATTCGGGCGAACTTATATAAAACAAATTTGGTTTTGAACAGTTCAAAGGTCAGAAGCACGAAACAACACTCGTTGAAAATAATTCGAAAGCTATTTCAATGCGCTAAAACCAAACCGTTAGTGTGAGAGGGTACCATAGATAGATAGATGGTAATGGTATCGACGTAAATAATCTGTGTTGTTCCGTCCTCAGCGGGGTGGCAGGGGAATGGGGACGTGTTAGCGGGGGTGGGGGGGGACTCACCGAGATGGGGGCGCGGAGCTCGGTGGTAGGGCTGGTGGGCCATGGGCGTGTGCAGGGCGGCCGCGGCGGCGGCGTGCGCGTACCCGCCGGCCCCGGCGCCGGTGTTCTGCGAAGGGTGCCATTCCCACATTCATATTGATTGACACGTCATCATTCCCCACACCTTATCTTGCCTAGGTGGGTTCGGCATAGCGTGTTGGTCATGAGAAAACACATTGATCACAGGCCAATTATCTGGGGGTCACAAACACTTGCCCGTGTGAGAATCAAACACACGTCCCCGGTGTCGAATTGGCAACTCATCATCCAATCACAACACATGATTGATACGATTAGGTTATATCATTGCATTTGATACGACAATTCATTTGATATACTAGTCAAATTTATTTACAAAAAAAAATCAACGCAAACTGTTCTTTTAATTACTCACTTGATTAATTTAAAAATTTTGTAAATGTTTATAATATTATGTTATAATTATAAGTTCACGATTAAAAATATTACACACGGGGCAAGATTCGAAGACTGTGTAACATTTTGTCCTTACACAAGTCCTTCTTCAACAAGTGAAATATAACTTAACAAAAAACAGCCGAATTCAAATAACTCACACATTATACATATTCTCCTAAGGGAGTTTTCATACGAATCTTCACAGTTCAAGAGCCAATACCAATGAAATTAATATGGGACTACACGGGAGCCAACTGTATTAGGTAATAACACCAAACAGTCTTAACTGTTGCACAAATGGACGGGTCCATCCGGGTGAAGTGGAAGTGTTATAATTCTGCCTTTCGTTTGGTGAGTGAGGTAGCTGGACCGCACTTTACTAAAAGGTGGCAACATATTTGCAACCCTACCGGTGTTGCAGGTGTCAACGGGCGGTGGTTATCACTTCACATCAGGCGAACCACCAGCTCTTCTCACATAGGAAAAAACTATACATAAATTTTAAAATAGGTTCATACCATACATCTGAATTAAGGACCTACTCCTTCATTTTAAAATCAAAGTGAAAATATTTACTAGACAACAGTTCTTTATATATTCTTAAAATCTGATTTGTTTTTTGAGAGGTAATGTTTTATGACTGGAAATATAATGAAGCAAAACTTACACAAAGTTGCCGGCTGAGCATTGGGTTCTGTTGTGAAGTAGTTATTTTATTTGTACCATAATTTGAACCCATTTGATCTGGAAGAAAAAGAGCTATTCTTACAAAATGAACTTTAAACACTACAAGGCATATTGCACAAATGTAACTGAAATCGAGCATTAATAAATGACCAGCAAATATGCACATTATACTGTTAAGACACAACATTTTACAGAGGTCTTTTCTTTATATACTATAGTAAGCACTTAGAATACATTTTTCTCCTCAAGAACTGATGAAATATATTGCTTTATATAAAGATATTCATTATAAATCATAAAAATTAACGGTTTCTTCAGATTCCGCGAATACTACACATTTTAAATTGAACTACTAATTTACGGATTTTGTCACATTTCATTCAATCTTCACCAGAACGATATGTTTTACGTCCTAATGTCATAGTTAGTTTTGTCGACCTCCAAACTTTTTAAGCATCTATTTCATCTGAGGTACGCAGTGCAAATTTATATTATTGAGAAATATAATTTGCGTGTTTGATTCCAGGATAGCAGAAAAAACGAACTATCTTTTCTTTAGTATAGATAGAGTTAGGATTTTTTTAGCATGAATGGACCGACTAGTCCGGGGAAATACTACCACAAGACAGGTATGAAGTGAAAGTATTATGCTTCCCGTTTAGTCTAATGAGTGAAGTTACCGGAGGGCCATTTTTTTTTAAAGGTGGCAATACATCGGCAACCCCATGAATTATGACGCTGATCATGACGGCTGTTATCACTCATGATCAGATGAACTGCCAGTCGCGTGAAAATGGGGATGGAAAAGGGAATCAAATAGAAATTTAAAATGCTGTATTTTAGTTTGATTTAGCGACATATTATATAAATGTTAAATAATTATAGTGTATAGTTTTAATTAACGTCTGTAATTTCAACAATATGGAAGTAATACATAATAAATATATATATCGATTACTTACTGCTTTGATGATAAAGATGATGAAAATCCGTTCGCGTTAGAGTAACATTTGGAGGTGTTCCTGTGACGAGTGCATTTATTGTGGAACCAAGATCAGCTTGAGGTTGCTCTGCAGCCTGAATCAACGTACAACGACGGTAAAGGAAAAAAACAACAAAACGCTGTAATTTAAATACAATAGCATCCTTTATGTCGCCAAAGAAAAAAACTAACACTTCGAAACGACACATAAAATGAATACACATTTTGATTAAAAAAAACATGAATGAATTAGGTACCTACATATTTTTATACTTTGCAATTGAATGAATCAATTTAAAAAAAAAATATTTCTTGAATAATATCATTCCTGTGCAACTTTAACTACCTACATTTGTTATTTAAATAACTACTAGCCATACTAAATATAAAGAAATCTTATTTTACCTCAGGTGAGACGAGCATTTGTTGCGAACGTTGCAATTGCAGAAGCCGGGCGCGATGCTGCTCGACAAGCGATCGCGAATCATCATTGCGCGGCGCCATGCCATACATTGAGCTGGTGCTGCCACCGATGTTACATGATACCTGTTTAAAAATCATTTGCTATTCATATAATCTTCAACAGTAACAACTAGAAGTAACAAATAGATGTGCTCTAAGAGTGGTTTGTATGAAAAAGATATAAACTTCCTTTATTCCCAAATGGTGTACAAATGTCGATCAGCACCTACTCTTAGAGATCATTAGATAACCCAATGTATTAATAAATATGTATGTTCTCGCGTGAATGTAGCGAACGCAACACGTTATACGTCACTGATATCGGAATTATAAGGGTTAATGATTTATGACCGACCATCAGTTAAAATATTGATTGTATTACTCTATATATACCTAAGGCACTAACTCGAGTACATTCAAAGTCAAAAAATGAAATTATTCTTGAATTGAAGAAATAAAATATCTACAAAATAAATAACAGCATAAAACTTAGCTATTTAATACAAGGCAAAGGCGTAAGAGCTTTCACTTCATTTGTCATGTGTGATTAAATTTTCCTCAAGCAACAACAATTTTTTATATGACTGGACTGCAAAAAGGAATTGACTTACAATCATATAAAAAAACTGTTGTTTACGTGACCAAGGTTATGGAATTACAAAACATTAAATGTAATAGATCTTTAGAAATAGTAACGAAACTGTTGTGAATATAACTTTACTTGTCTTTAGGTTTTTTTTTTAAAAGGACTTCTTTCTGCAAGGAAACTTAAAATTTTCTGAAGTTTTACCTTAAACGTGTACAAATAATAGTGTAGTCTTTTTTTTATGTGAAAAGTTGTCAAGCCAACAGGCGGTTCATCTGAGCCTGCCCATTCGTGTAAAAGGCGAGGCTGCTGTGGCCCTACCACAGTTAGTCTTTTCTATATTATAAATAAGTTGCAGCGAAAATATTGTATTATATTTAATCGATACCTGGCTTTGTACCGAGTACACTGGAGGCGCTCCAGGACTTGAAGAAACGGGATTTTTTGAAACTGTTTCACATTGCATGAGACTTTGTGTAATAGCATTTATGACCGCAGTCTTTTCTTTCATGCCCTGCAACAAAACAATAACTTCAAATAAATTGTATATGTTTTCAAAATGTGTGAATTTGTTAAATGTTAACGTAATTTTCATTTTTATACAATAATGAATAGTTAAAACATCAATCATCTGTCGTTCCAAGGAATGCCAATGCATTAAATGGAAATTCTATGCTATGCAATGCTGCCTTGGATTCTCTTTAGCTTATCTATATGCCTACTTTCGATCTGATTAATTCACCACAATTAATGATGTTTTATGCCAAATGTAACTTTATTTTTAAGAGGTATGATACCGGCCTATGCACGGCTATCAGGATTACGATGATTTGGATATCTTTTTTATCTCCAGATAATTTTTGAACATTCAACTCACTGCAAAGTCCGATCTCAACTGCCGACTTTCCAAATTCATGAGAACGTTCACATCAGGCGCGGGCCGCTCTGCGTATGGCATGCTCTCGATCACTTCGTCCAATATATAAGACAACATTAAGTCACTGGGCGCATCACTGTCGCCGCCGCCTCCCGAGCTGCCTTGACTTCGAGAATTGTCATTGCTGAAAATATATTTAATTAAGATAATAATATAAAATAATATAATAGCGTGCGGCTTATACGATAACGCCTCGCTCGGAAGGAGAGAATTGCTAATTCGTTATGCCAGTCTACTAATCTGACCTCTGTTCACACTGCACCGGCTGCGCAGTGATTTGCATGAAATTTAAAATGGTGATTTCTTTTTAGCTATAAAGAGATGTAAAACGAATTCCTCTGCTGTTCTCGCTCACCAGACGAAATACAAATGCATAAATACTTCTGCTTTACGCCTTCGGCGTAATGGCGCTTTCCCGATAAAGCTGACCCATTCATATCGATCCGCGTGTGCCATTGGAAATGGATAGCTTTCATGCCGTCTATCAGAGGTGAAACGCACGTGGGCTGGCTGTTGTAGGCGTTCGCGTAGTGCACGGCCGTGGGCGACTGCGGGTAGCCGCCGCGCGCGCTGCTCTGTAGCACCATCTGCAGGTGACTGGGCACGTTCATGCTGGCGGTGGAGCACGCGGCGTTGGTCACGTTGCCCACCCCGCCCCCGCCGCCCGCGCCCCCCGCTGCGCTTGTCACCACACCACCACCGCCACCCCCGTTCACGTTACTGGCTCGACTGCTACAATGACAGAATGTAAAGTTGCTATCAGTAGCACAAAACTCGCAATCTTACCGGTCGCATAATTAGCACCTCCTGTCACTTACTCCGGAGCGAACAATTTACAACCATTGAAGGAGCAATTTTCGCAGATGTGGTAGTAATATTAGATAGAGAATCGTACATTAACAGAAATTAAGCAAAAAAGTGAGTTAAAAAAACTTAGGGTAATTTTAATTCTGCATTACTTACTGGGGAGTAAGCATATTCGACAACGTGGAATGGTGATGCTGGTGTTGTTGTATTTGCGGTAACCTTGGGCGGGGAACCGGTTCATAGCCACGAAGATTTGGCGTGGGAAAAGGCGTGGCTTGCTCCAGAAGAGCAACTAATATTTGGTTTTTTTGTCGAAGTGGACGCATATTACTGCTGCTAGTGGCAGGACTATTAGCCGTGGAGGAAGGTGCCGAGGAAGCTACTGGTACGGCACTGGACGTGACCTGTTGTAAAAATTTAATATCATTCATCACAGTGAACGGCTACAGATATGAATTATACATAATATACAAAAAAAAACAATAGTATGTATTACCTGCTGATGTTCAGGTGTAGCTCTTTTTACATTAACGGGTGTTTTACTGTCTTCATACTTTCGTTTCATACCAATCCTTTCGAGGTAGTTATCACTGGCGTCTTGAGAGCGACCGTTGCCAGATGGCCCATTACTGGGCGAAAGCAACTGAGAGAGCAGAGCACTGGGTTGTGACGTATTACCGCGCGAGCCGTCTGAGGCATTTCTTCTGGATTCCTCATTATCCTCATCGGATTTTTCGTTCAATATCTAAAACACACACCAAGCTTGTAAGACCCTATCAAATGAAAAAGTGTAGTCGGGCATTATTTATTTTAAATTTGAAAATCAACAAACTTTTAATGAATAGTAAACTTAAAACCATAAACTTTGCGTATATTTAAATTACTTTTAATTAACTTAACGCTTAATAATAACTCACACGAGTTACTCGCGGCGTTGGTTGTTGACGGATATGAATGCAAAGTACATACCCTCAGTAATACTTCCGAATTATTATGGTGGGCCTGCTGCATGTTGTGCGAGGTAGATTGGTGCGCGCCGTGCTGCGAGTGCGATGTGTGCGGCGGGTGTTGCGCATGCGTGGGGTGTTGCGGGTGCTGCGGGTGCGGCGTGTGGGGCGTGTGAGAGGTGTGAGACGCGTGGGACGCGTGGGACGCGTGCGGGGTGTGCGTCGGGTGCGGCGGCGGGCGCGCGTGCGCCTGCGCCTGCGCCGTGTGCAGCGGGGACAGCGCAGCGCCCGGCGTGAGCGGCGTGTGCGGCGTGTGTGGCGTGTGCGGGGTGTGCGGCGTATGCGGCGCAGACGTCTCGCTGCTCGTCGCCTCCTCGTCGTCTTGGTTGAGCAGATCCTTTAAGATGCGATTGTTCGAGTTGACCGCCGAGTCCGTTGCGCTGGTGGTCTTTTTACTGAGCAGCGTGCGTAGACGGTTCGGCTCCTCGACAGGGACGGAGGACTGCGAGCCCTCGTTCGATGCCAGAGACGCGCGGGGGGTCAACGGGTTGCTTGAATCGTCGCCAGTCATCTCTTTCCGCTCCTTTGTATCCTCACAGGACATCTCTCCTATTTGGAAGCCCGGCGCCCACGGTTCCAGGTCGAAGTCGTTGATGGAAAACTGGGCTTCACTGGGGCTCATATTAGGGCGATACCGCGTTTCGCATCCGGAAGACTCTCCGTTCGCGACGGACGTCATCAGGGGACCGCCAACTGGTGGCCTAGTACCGGCAACGTCCAATAGGTCGACTTCGTCGTCGCCGAGGACGGAATGCGTCGACATTATAAAGTCAAGTTCACCAGAGGTCGGCTTAGCCGTGAAAAGCCGCGACTGAGCACTTACTCTAAACCAGGGCTTATCGGCCGCGATACGTAACCGAAAAGGGTCACTCACTACCGGCGGACCGGGACGACACACGGCCTCTTGCAAATGCGCCGCTACGCGTATACGATCACTGCTTTCAACTAGTTCCAGATAACAAGCACCCACAAGAGATATAGGAGAGTTCAAACAGTTTTCCACTCCACTTAAGTCGCAAGCTGAAATCATAAAGTAAACATTGTTAGTAGGGTGTCGATGTCGTTGTTACCATACGGAATATGTCGAGCGGTGGTGGTTAGCTTTACGTACATAAAATTGTATAGTTGCAATCTAATCTGAAGACGATGTTTTCAGAGTGTTTGGAAGTGATGGCGGGCGGACCGCCGTCGACTGGAAGAAGTGCGGCCGACGCGTCCTCGCAGCGCCGGATGACGCACATGACGGAGCCGGCCTCCTCCGAGGACGAGCCGCGTACTGGCGCAGCGTGGATCACAGCATCCACAAGCCTGTTACGGAAAATATAATTAAATAATATATTTTATGCGTTTCACATTCTTATACTGGCAATTCATGTGCAGCAGTGCAACATATAGCTACCCCTGTTATCGGTACAAATATATGTACAGCCATCGGTGTTGCAAGTAAGTCAAAAAGCTAGAGAAAATATATTCTAAATTACTCTTTCCTTGTTACGAATGAAGCCCGGTGAAGTTTTGTAATATTACTGTGACTGGTGATTAGTTTAAAAATTATCGAGACTACCTCACAAAGTTCTTTTGCATTCTTAAGTCTAAATCATAATCACAAATTACAAATGACATGTGTGTTCTGTGTCTACGTTTTTGATTACCAATTTTTTCGAGACTAATGGGCAAAAAATTTTTAATCACTGGTATCTCGCATATCGCACAGTGCACTCAACAGATGAAAAAATATATAAAGTAAATTATATCTTTATTAGTTTAATATAGAGAATAACAATGAATTTATAACACAATAACATTGTAAATAAACAAATATGCAGTATACACGTACCCAGCACTATCACCACCATTTGGACTTTTGATAAGATGAACTTGAATAGCTTGAAACTTATCAATGTCCCCCGAGCACCAGGAAAAGGTTTGCGCATTTCTCAATAAAGGTTTAAATTTCGCATGATCGCCGGCATGTAAAAGCGAAAAGATCGACTTCTTGTATAGCTCTGTTCTATCGACAAGAATAAGGTCCTTAATATTTTCCGTAACACACTCGATTTCTCCCTTAGAATTAATTTCTAAGAGGACCCAACCCAAACTGCTCGTATAATGTTTAAGGGCCTGGAACAAACAACATGCAAATATCATTATAAACGTCGAACGTAATAGAGGTAATATAAAGTTACAATGGGCACGTTTCACTCGTTTAAGTACCTCAATGAGTGTAGTGAGTTCGGAATACTGGAAACCAGCCGGCGGCGGCTGTGGTTGCGTCGAAGTGACCTCTCCCGCCTGTACTGGCGAGAGGCATTGGGCCAGGCGCAGGGGACACTCGCCGGGGCAGTCCCGCCGCCGTTTCAGCACCTCCTGGATCTGGCGGGTCGCCTCGCGAACGATACCGTTCTTATCCGGCTGCTTCACCTCGGCGAGACAGGTCCCCAGTAGCTCCTCGAGCTGATTTATGGTTTCGTTCTCAAGCTCCCGCCGCTTTTTTTCGTTGTAACATTTATTTCTGGAACATAAGGCGACTATTATTTATGGTGTTCATGTATTCAGTGCTTTTTTTTACAAAAAATTAATATTTCAATTAAATATTACAGTACAAAGAAATATGTACATATGAATCTAGCGATCAACATCCGTATCGTAATTCACCAATCTTGTTGTGACACTTGAATGAAAGTAAAAGTTTGCGATGTGGAAAAATGTTTCCAAACCAACCATAGTAATGATTGTTCGGTAGAATAAAATAACATTAACGAATAAATTTTAATTCTAGTCTCTACTCTCAAATAAAATATGAACTTTTGAAGATAAGTAGTCAAAAACTGTTGAAACCGCGGGATTCGGAGCTGCGTCGATGCTTTCCACTAATCTGAGCGGCCGATGTCCAAGCTGCGCGAAAATACCGCTATATCTAAGTTTATTTTAATGCATTTTTAGTAATGCGTGCCAAGCAGAATTTACATGCATTTAATGTGCATTCTTTACACACACAAATAACATTTTAACTATGATCATTAGTAAAATTAGATTTTTAAAATTTATAGATTATTTTTAATGCTAGTCTCTGTACTAAAGAAGAATTTACCCTATAAAGTTTTGTAGTGTAAAGAATGATTAGAAACGTAAATTCAAAATAAAGTAACATTGAAAGAATTTATTTAAATTTAATTATGCTTTTAACAAATAATAACACAGTTATGATAATAAATGCAGCTTGAGGTGGTGGTATTCATGAATATTGATAAGACATCGATAGCATGATGAATATAACACGAATTTTAAATTGGATTGAAGTAGAGTGGCAACCATGGCTCCCGGGGTTACAAAACGTTGAGCAACATCGCCGTAGATTAGATAAGGAAAATGGAGAGGACGAAGTTTTTTTTTATAGTGCACGAACATGTCCAAGCACATCACAAAGACACTCACTTGTTTAAATAAAAACTGATTCAAATTGTCTCGAATATATTCGCCTTATTTATTCGTTAACTCCTATTTATACTGAGTTAAATTATCAACAAATTTCTACGAAATAGGTATGAGGCAGTCCAAGCGATAAAAATATCCAGCGAGTGGAATAAAAGGATTCAAATGAAAAATTAAGAAGGCCAAGGGCGTGCCAGCATCGATCAAAGTGACGCACTATTGCCTCTTTGTACACAAAAATAATTAGTTATATAACAAAGTCGATTGAGCACTTGGTAATTCAACTTGGAGGGTTGGAGCAGTTCTTTATTTTACATGAAAATGAGACACGGCCAACTATGATCCGATGAAAGAGAAGTTCACTTAAAACTATCTTATCATTGTTTATCGTGAGATAGGAAAACGACAACCAATAATTATAACTGACGCGATAAGAAACACTTCATGAAGTATAAGAAAAATCATTAACATCTATTCAAAGAGTAACAAACAGGTGATATGAAAAGATAGGTGGACCGTCAGTATGATACGGATAATTTAAAATTTGTTTTTAACAACTACTTGTGCATAACTACACAGCCGCTGAAATTTATAAAACGCTGAGAAGGTTACATCTTAGTTAGTTAATGATAGCTTTCGAAAGATTAAAAAATTGTAAGCGTGAAATTTTTGACTCTCGGAGAAGGATTCTGTACAATGATTCGAGGGATTGTTTTTTATATATTCAAGAAAATTTCTTGTTTCCTGCACAAAACGAGGAATTCTAAGCCTTAATGATGTGCTGAATCTTATTAAACCAGCTGTCGAAAATGAAAAAATGAAGCTACTAAAAAAACATTATGTGATGAAATAAAACTGTTGCATTTCATGTTTGCATGTGTGAGTGTACAGATAACTTTAGCTCATTGGTATCGCAATGGCGACTATCCAGAGCGCTATAACTGCCAATATAGATTTTTTGCCTATTTTTCCATGCAAAACACTCCATAAATGAAACAACTTATTTTACTAAGTAAATGATTAGCTAAAATGAAGAACAAAAAAAAATGGATCAACATTGTATAAATGATACAGAAAGGGCTACGGCCAGATATTGCGTAACTTGATTCTGCGGTAAGTATCCCATGCAATTATTAAACTCCTAAGAAGCTAATGACCGTAAAAGATCTAAATTAAAAATTTCAAAATTGATGTAAAATTATCACGACATTATAACGGTAATATATAATTGTTGTATGGAGGAATTTTATCGCTAAAAAGCATAACGTTTCCGCTTTTTTTACGGCAATTATAGAATATTTTTTAAAATCAATTTGAAGAGACCGAGTTAGGACGGAGACATTAGTTCTTCAGACATAAAAATTATATAAATTGATTAGTTTCAAGGTATCCGTGTATTGCATTCCGCAGACAAATAAGAAGGAATAAGCAATAATTTGAGGCCAAATTTAAAAACACAACATTGAAACAATGACAAGACGACGTAATAACATGCGAGATGAAGTACCCAACCCAACTTTATATAACAAGTATAAAGGAGATAATAATGATACTTTCAATGAATACGACAGTAAAATATTCCACTTTTAATCGAACATGTCAAAACGTATAATACGTACATTTGTGATTGTGGCTTATTGTCTGACTTTTTTCTTATCTTCTTAACCGGCGCTGTCACGCTCATCTTGCCTTGCATCCCCCTCCATGTGTCTCCCGGTTGGAGTTCACAGGATTCAATTCTACACAAGGAGCAAACAATTATTTTTGTATTTGAATAATTTAGTTTACTATATATATAAATAAATTAAAACTTTTATAAAAAATTAAAAGGAAATTGTCTTTCCATAGTTAACCTAACGATTATTGTCGTAGGTTAGCTGTTTTTATTGTTATATTTTGATAAAATTATGTCAGCCAACTACAACGATAAGCAGGGAGGGTACTTTCAAAAGAAAAATGTAGGATTCTCCTTTGACTTATTATTTAGCAAATTATTGCCTTTCATGACTCATGTTTAATGTTAAATAAATATAAGGTGTCAGTTTGATGTTTATGCGGGTTTTTGTCAATATATACGTTTGAGATACAGGTCAACTTGCACAATTATCAAAACAAGCAATTACATGTACAATCATAATGTAATTGCTATCGAGGAATAGTCATGTTCAAGTCGACGGATACTCATATCGAATGCCAAGTACAGTATAGGCTGTAGCCTAATGCGAAAGAGGGACGGAGATACCAGTTAAACGACGCCTACCGAGGAGCCCCACAACGCAACCTCACTGCGACGGGCGGCCGCGCAACCTTGAAATAATAATGTTCGGAATAACAACGCTCCATAAGCGTGACCAGAAGAGTATAATAAATAATTTGCGAAAAATTCGGGGCCCTTAATAGGTCTGTTGATTTATTTGAGGGTATTTAATTCATTATATCGTTTGACAGAGTTTAGTTAACTGTAACTTACCTTCACGAACTTCAGAAATAAAAATTATGAAATAGTAAATTTCACCTTCCTTTTTACCAGTTGAGTCAAGTTCGGTGAAAGTTGATAAGTATAAAGAGTTACGCGATCAAAGATTTCGCCTTTTCAAATGTTACTTAATAGGGTATTCGTCATACAGACGCCAATCGCTGGCATACCTATACTTCACCCTAATTCTACTTCACTGCGAAGGTTAAACACGTTGTAATGGTTCTTTTTTGTGAGGTTTTTATATCAATGCGGAAATTGAAAGCTTAAATTTAATAGTGTTAGGGTATATTATTCATGGTGAGCGAACAGGTGAAAAGTAGACAATGTTATTCGCTATCAAAGTGACGCAATGATTTAAAATGCAATTCCTAAAGCTTCCGTAATATCTTGTTGATATCATGTCGACTTAATTATATTGATCATAAATTACAAATGGGCAAATTTATTTTCCTTAGTCCTAGTTCCTAACTCGGAAATATTATTGCTGATTATATTTAACTAAAAGTATCAATGTCGATATGCATATATATCAAAACTTAACATAGAAATCACTGTTACCTAGTTCATTTGATGTAGATGACAGACGTGTGTCAACAAACAATTTGGAACCAACAATCTTGATATAGCGGCGCAGTTTCCTGCATACGACAAAAACAGTGCAAAATCATAGCATTTATTACAGACGACGATAATATTATGAGTGATATTCTAATAATTTGTTACCTGCCTATCAGTTTTTACCTTGATTAAGTTATCCGAATGTTAATAAATAAATGTTAAAAACTAATGTTATAATAATTGATTTAACCTAATTTACATTAAATCCAGTTCTATTAAATTTACCACAGAAATTTAAAAAAATCTATCAATTTCATTGAGTCATATTATATCCTCAATGGCCTGTAAATAATATACTTAAGAACAATTGAAATCAAAACATTTTGCTATCATACAGTTATACACCTGGACAGTAACATCTACCTAAATGTTTTCGTACAGGGAGGTTCCCCTTTTTTTTCTTTTCTTGAATAATATCTTTGATATTCTAAGTTCCTCCTCCGAATAACTCTTCACTCTTAGGAGTTTAAGTACGTTGTGCGTCGAAGTAGATATAGGATTTATATTTAAGATAAAAGCCAATTTGATACAGTCAAATTCCCACACGTAACAAATTTGATTCGTAACGAGGATGAAACACGCTTGATAAAAACTTGTATAACTGGTGAATATCTGCCGTTTGAGAAGCAAGTAGGATACAAAGGCTATGTTTAAACATTGGTCATCCGACACAAATACTTGAAAGATATACCAAATTGTGTAGCAAATATAGTAATTTCTTTCGAACAATCGTTTTCACTGTCGCTGTTCAAATGTTGAGAAATGCACATAGGTCAGCTATGACTGCATACCTATGCTAAAACCATATTAAAATATATTCAGTGTTCTTTTTACATAAGTGTTGCAAAGTTTATATGATTAAATCAATACGTTTATTAGTTACCTATGACTAATATTGCGCCAAAGAGTATGATTGAGGTTTTGCAGAAACTTGTTTCCATTTTAGTAAAACCGCTGAGTCTTCACATCAGTCTTAAACTAAAATATTAAAATTTGAGGTAGCCCTAAACGTTTTCATAATTTAATTTTATTATACAATCGAAATTCACAATATGGTCTATCTTCATATTAGTCGAATAACCCTAGCTGGGTATTTAAATTATCAATGGAACGAATTGCTAGTAGTTTAAAGCAAGTTTATGCTGTTGTTACTTTAAATTACCTTTGAAACGTATTCACAGCAACATCAATGTCAAAAAATATGTCGACTAACTCTTCGACGTCGGAGTCCGAATTAAGGGAGGGTGGCAACGTAGCCGACGTAGGGACTCCGTCAACAGAATGGCCAGCAGAATTAAAAAGTACGGGCTCAGATTGCACCATGGGTAGCATTGCTACAGAACAATCCAGAAACACTCACTACCACCGTTTTCGAGATGAACGACTCCCTGAATAAACTTTAAAAAACACAGTTCGTATCCGCACCCAAACACACACTGCATTGCGCCACGCTTGCCGCGACGCTAATTTTTTTTTGATCTTTAAACAACAATAAACATTTAATATATTATAAAACACACGAATTGAATTATTAGACCATTAATTACTACTTTATATACCAGCAAAACATGTAACGACTTTATTACGCAGCTAATAAAGTAATGCAATTTTCTATCAAAATCCGTGCGAAACGTTCGCTACAAAACGACGATGAAAGTCAACTGAAAGACGAGACATACATATACATACATCCTTGTCGTTCGCTACTTCACAAATTATCAACACGGCGCGGCGGCGCGATACGACATGAAGCGGCGGCGGCGGCGCGCTGCGAGGGGCGCGGGGCGGTGGTAGCAGACTGGCTGAACCGTATCGCCGCTATAGTCACACCCACGTCACTTCTATCTTACAGAATGTCTTTCGATCTCGCTCACCGACACGTTAAAGAGTCAGTCGACAACCGATGCCGATAACGAATGAAACAATATTATTGGAATTATGATAAATAATCAGAGGCAAACAAATAAATTTGTTTACATCATTATCCATTAACTTTTTAGATCAAAATGAAATACAATATTTGAAGTTCGTTTTTATAAATGCATAATACGTGATCAAAAAATATTTCAGTTAAAACCTAATTAACACTTCAAAGAAACATTACATTACAAATTTCTAATAAATGTTCGAAAAACATTTTTATAATGTATGAAATAAGAGTAATACCAATAATAACATTACATATAAAATAAGATCATTATTTAAATTTTCAATTAAAAAAATAAGTGAAGTAGCAGGTAGTTAAATAATGATATTTATCATGAACAGAGCTGTAGATAGTTAGATACATTTATAGACATGAAAGTGAAATGGAGCAGTATTTATGTCAAGTGCACAATTTAGATAACAAGGTCATTCATTGCGTAATAGATTTTTTAGTAATTTTAACATTATGATTCGACTGCTATCGTATAAGACAAATATTACGTATATTAATTAACAATTTATATTGTGTAAAATTAGTCTGTAGAACCAATTTCGCTAGTGTTAATATTTTACAAAAGTTTCGATATGTCACTCCTGTTGAATTTTGCATCTGAATATCAGAAATGAGAACGTTAAAACTGAATAAAGCTAAAAAGTGAAGTTATATAGTAGTGGAGGAAGAGCGCGGGTGCTCGGCGCGTGCAGATATCGGTGCAGGCGGCCCCGCAGATCTATGTCAGTAGGTCACGGCAATGACGTGGCACACGGTCGCGGCGAGCCGCGCACTTCATTCTAATTCCGCTTCGCCGGTGTCTTCGGTTCAACTGACTGTTTATGTCCTAATATGACGGTAATGTTGGTAAATCGGAATCAATATATGCGACTACAATCAATTTTCAAATAATACACGTAAAGTCCTCGACCTCGAGTATAGTTCCACGTATGGAAATATGTGCGCCATAAAGATGCAAAAACGGTACAGAAATGCGATTAACTCGCTCCGGTGTATGGCAGATATTACTCACGCAGTAGATAATAGAGAAACAGTTCAGGAGCTAAAACATATAATTTAAGATATTTTGGGTAATTTCTGTACGATTTACTTTCATGCACCGAAATAAGGTCTCGGCTAAAAAGTTATTAGATAACATAATCCTGTCTAAATCTTATTTTATAGCAACTTCAATGCCACTACTCAAAAATAACAATAAAATAAATAATTTAGTATGAATTACTTTTATATAAATGCCATTTTGTTACACCAATAACTTATAATTGCGTAATTATTATTTGTGTCGCAAAGTTACATTGATACGATTATCCTCATAATGCAACAAATGAGTCTTTAGGATGTGCCAACGTTATAAAGTCTGAAGCTCAAATAAATAGCATATTTTATCACGATATTTAACTATGGAATAAACTACTCTCAAGATTTTCAAATTTAAATCAGACATGATACTTTCGGTTTACAATATTACAAATGACTCGGACATACGGAATAACTAAAATTACTAAGACGGCGGAATGGATATGGAGATACAGAACAGGCAAATAAATTGAATAATAATTATATTTGTCGTATGGAAATAATCTTATAATAATTAGCATCGTGTGTCCCAACAGGTGTTGAAAATATTATAGTGTCAGAAGTTATCCTAGTTAATATTGACATTAACAACAGAAAACAATCAGTATTTAAAAATATAATTAAAAACTAAAAAAAAATTAACTTTTTTCTACATTTTATGTGATATGTCTCGGTAATAATACGTGGAAGTTGAAAATGAAAGCGATGGAACTATTAACTTAGTTTAAGTGCTAATAAAAGTTCATGTTATAAAAGTGAAGAAACCGAAATCAAAAATGTCTGTATATAAATAGACTGAGCACTGTTTTCATACAAGACAGACAGACCTTGATATCATAAGAACTAAGCCACTGTTTTATTTAAATATGAGCTTAATGTCATGGTTTGTCACACATGGCCTTAAACTTGGTGTGCTTCTAAATAAATAGACCTAAAGTATATTCGCGTCAAAAATTACAAATGGGCAGCTTTTTCAGATACATATTCTACGTTTTGTCTTGGTATGTATAGTATGTAAGTACGTAGAACTACAAAATTATCCGATTGCAACAATCTCATACTAATCTTTTAAGACGGCTATCTCTAGGAAGGCTTCAAGGGGACACAGTGACACTGGGTAATATAAAAAATAATGTTAATTATTAAAGTACTAGCTGACTCTGCAAACGTTGTTTGCCAAATTTATAGGTTAGAAAAAATGTTTGGGGTGGACAACCCTTATCATTTAGGGGTACGAAAAAGAGATTACAACCGATTCTCAGACCTACCATATACATATAAATTTCAGAAAAATCGCCATTTCGAAGGAGTATGGCAACTAACTATAAAAAATATTTATATATGGGAAAATAAAATTGTTGCTATTTCGATTTTCCATGCAATTTTTCCATAATTTCTCATCGTTTAAGCCTTCCCTGGACTACCACAAATATTTCAAAACCAAAATTAGCCAAATCGATACAGCCGTTTTAGAGTTTAAGCGAGACTAACAAACAGCAATCCATTTTATGTACATATAAGATTATTTCAAATTTTTGGAAATATTCACACATCTTTTGTTTAAAAATAATGAATATTACTGATGACGTAATTATAATAATAAATCATTATAATAAACAAATCATATACATCAGTAGTAGTCGTATTTATATAATAATACTAGCAGATCCCGTCACGCATTGCAATGGCTCAAAATATTTTATCATCTTCAATAATTAATGATGTTAGTTTAAAAGTAAATGATTAGATATTTAATTTCACTATTAAAAATGATAGATATAAGAAAAACATAATAGCTGTACACAAAATTTTGTAAATTATTATAATTTATTATAATTTTATAGAAAAAATATACAGAATATGTACCACAAAATCTTAAAACAATAATTATAAAGTGAATCTTAAAAACTCGTGTAACGAATTTTAACATTGAGGAAAGGATTGGAATGAAAAAGAAAAACGCCGAAATAATGTTAATTGATTTTCTAACTGGGATGTCAAAAGTTATGAGTACACACACAAATACACTGACTTACACCAATATCTGTAAGATAAATATGAACTTACGGACTCTTTCAAACCATCGCCTTATAAAATTGCAATAAAATATTAAAATTAGGTACAATATATTATGGAACAATTCTTGCAAAATGAAAAGAAACAATTAAAATAGGTTGCGTAGTTTTGAACATGAAACGGATAAAGCTACCTTATTTTGTTTATGTATGTATTATCTTTATATATATATATATAATTCTTCTGTACGTGTGTATGTCACTGAACTCCTCATAAACGGCTGGACCGATTTTGAATAAAAAAAATTTGTGTGTCTTCAAATAGATTCGAGAATGGTTTAGATTCAAAAAGTACAGGACAAAGTCTGTCCGGTCCGCTAGTAAATAATATAAGAGATCAGCGGTGTGATCATTGTGGTACACCTGGTTAGACTGTAAACTTTAAAAAGATTATATTAATCTGGTTAAACGATTTGGCGTCATTTATAAAAGGGAAAACCGCTCAAACATTTAATATTAACGCTTTCTCTTGTCAAAAACTAAGAAAATTAACCTCAATTGCATAAATCCGATTATCTTCAACGATAAATTCAATAAATATTACATGAAGATAACCAAGTAATATTAATTTAAGGCAAACTAATAATGTTGTCATTCATGCAATAGAAAAAATTGGATATATTAGAGATTCTCAAATTTCGATAAGAAGTAGTAGGGTGACTTCCGGTGTTCATTTTGTATGCCCGCTTATATTACGCTCTAACGGTTTATTCCATTCATGTAAAAATATTTTCATAAAAGTTCATCAGCACACACCCCTAGTGGTGAGCCAATGTACGCACCTACGACCCTTGACCTTAAGCTCACAAATCGAATGTCCCAGTCACTAGACAATAATAACTTAATTAGTGTTTGTTTATAAAAATAAAAATCTGTCTTCTAAAAATAAAAAAGTTTAATCTAAGTAGGTATTTTATAAAGTAGATATGTAAGCAAAATCAATATAATAAATTATTGAATATATACGTCTTTAAATATATATACAAAAAACTATAAGATAGGGGAATGTTCATTCACTGGAAAAACCCATAATTGGGTATATTCAATTATTATCTAAATACTAAGCAACGTACTGTTTACCTCAACAGTTCTTATGACGTGTTAACTTACGAAACAAATTTACGATAAGTCGATGCCAACAATAAATTATGAAAGTTCATTCCCAAGAGAACATAAGTAATCTGGTGAAATGAAACTGCTAATGAAAATATAAATGGTGCAATATATTGGATGGGGAGCGGGTTGCCTGTCTCTTAGACAAGAAAATTATAATAATCTCTGGGGTCGTGGATAAAAATAACATTATTTATAGATATTGTCATTAACATTTTGAAACATTGATAAGATGTGATTTTTGTAGTAATGAACTTTTACTATAAAATATTCGATGAACGTTTAACTTATATAAATTACTAGCTTTCCGCCCGCGCTTCGCTCTCGTTGAAGCCCTTAAATAAATATCTATCCCCTTTAAGAACCCTTTATAACCCTGTTTCTAATTAAAAAATACCCTATGTCCTTTCTCAGGCTCTAGACTATTTGTGTACCATATTTCATTTAAATCGGTTCAGTAGTTTTGGCGTGAAAGCGAGACAGACAGACAGAGTTACTTTCGCATTTATAATATTAGTATGGATTAACGTTTTATGTTTAAGTTAAAACCGACCGAGAAAAATATTGCTATTCATATTACACGTTCAAATGTCGAGAAATCATACATCATCATAGTGTGCGCCTTGCATAGTCTGTCATAAACAGCTTTATAAAAATGTGTTAATTATATCTAACACAGTCAGTATAAGAAAAATAAAAAATAAAT